GTTGCGGAGTCGGCGATGGTCGTCACTCGTCCGGAGAGCGCGAGGTCGCGGGCTGCGAACAGTCCGCGTTCGGATAGTTCGAGCAGTCCGTGGACGGGCACCCCGCGGACGGGCAGTCCGGACTCGATCCGGTTTCACGAGGAGATGGATGCGTCGAGTGTCGCGAGCGACGAGCGACTTGCGGCCCAGGGCGTGCCAGCACCCGGCTTGGCCGTTTCCGAGTGTGAAGGAGCTGAGTCGGATACCCCCCCTGCCCGGAGCAGTCCCTCCGGGCTCAGCAGTCCCGCTGACCGGTTCACCAGAACGTCATCCGGCGTCGAGATACCTATCCTACCCATTCCATTGATAAGCTCTCCATGCCAGGCGACCCAAAGCAGACGGACTCCACATCTCCGGGAAACGAGGGAACCTCCTGCCGCAGCCGCAAAACCAACTTTCTCGAAACCTGCTTGTGGGGCAGGCCGCAGGATTTCGCGAAACACGATACCCGTCCTACCCATTCCATTAATAGGCTCTCCAAGCCAGGCGACCCAAAGCAGCAGGACTCCTCATCTTCGGACTTTACATCTTCGGGAGACAAGGGAACCTCCTGCTGTAGCCACAAAACCAAGCTTCGCGGAACCGTCTCTTGCGACGCGACGCAGTAGGAGGACCCCGCAAAACAGAAGGGCCAGGCACCTTCGCGAAGCAAAGGAGATTCCAGCTGCAGCCTCCAAGCCAACCATCTCGGAATCGAATCACGAGCCGACTCCCGCCGAACAGCAGGCTCCTGAGCCGGCGCACTCCGAGGAGCAGCCACAAGGAATGCATCTCGAGGACAATCGAGACAGCTCCAAACAGCAGGAGCCCCCGAAGACCGAAGAAAAAGACGTGTCTGATCAAGATGCCAAAGAAGGCACAGAACAGGGTGCCGGCGATGTCGAGCCAGCAGACAAGTCCTCGGAGCCCGACCCGAGGGTTGTATTGCAGGGGTACAAGTCGCTTTACCGCGACATGCAGTGCCGGCGACAACGACTGCGGGTCACCGAAGAACGCCTAGCGCTGGCCGAGTCCGTCGCGGCACTGGAAAGCCATAGACTCGACGCGTTCGAACAGTACGTCAAAGACGTAGAAAGGAAGGCTGCCCCGCTACTGCGGATTCTCAACATGTTAGGGCTAGGGAAATAAATGTGCAGCGCAGCTTGTTCGACCGGAAGCTTGACTGGCTCGCTCCCTAGCCAGGAACCCCGAAAAATGTGGAAACGATTTCCGAAGGTATCGATTTCCGAAGGTATCGATTTCCGAAGGGAACAACTCAAGCCATTTCCGTCCATCCTGATTCATCCTTCATCGTGCCTCCTTCATCGTGCCTCGACTCCTTCGTCACACCTCGACTCCTTCATGCTCGCTTCCATCATCCGACCATACGTGACACTTGCGCTCGCCATCGCGTCCGTCGTGGTGCTCTCGGTCAGAATTTCTGCCTGCATCGCAAGGCTTCCGTCAGTTGCAGCAGAGGTGTCAGGAAGCTCATCTGGAAATTGGGGGGAGTCGAGAGCCGTCGAGGGGAGCTCTTCTTCTTGAAACAACTGGGCATATTTTGGTGCGGGGCGGGTTGGTCTCATTTCAAATAGTTTCCGTTCTGGGTCTTCAGTGGGTTCCTTCCTAACCTCCACACTTTGCCACAGTTCCGGATCGGTGGTGCCACTCGTTTTCGCGCGTCTTTCTTCACTGAGTACGTGCCGTTGCATGGTGGTTTTGTAGATCGAGGTATAGTCGCAATAGGGGCACTTTAAAACCTTGGCATCTGTCGAGTGAGTGGAGCGTAGGTGGCTGTTAAGACTGCCTCGCTGCCTGTACAACTTGTCGCACATGTGGCAGCTATATATAGGACCATCGGTCGGCTGCCGGTTACGTTTCAGCTTCGCCCTTTCGCACGTATCGGAGCTTTTCCAGTGTTCCACCAACTTCTTGAAGGTGACAAACCGTCGCAGACACTGCTCACACCCAAATGGCGGATCCTCGTGCTTCTGCAAGTGAGCCAGCCACGTGCCGCGAGCGTTGAAGACTTCCTCGCAGTCGTCAAATGGACAAATCGCCTGCTCCGGTTTTACTCCTTCCGGCACTGCATGATTCGTCCCCACGTGCTGCGACAGTGTGTCAAACAAACTGGCAGATATTGCTACCAATGGAGCCTTAGGCGACTCCTCGTTCAAGGAAACTTCCTCACCTTCATCTGCTCCTACTTCACCCTTTCCAGCTGCTTCTTCACGAGCTTTTTCACCAGCAGCGTCTCCTACTCCAGTCATCATTGCTCTCTCGGGTGTCGAGACCTGAACGTCAAGTGCTACAGAGAGGCTGCCTGACGCCGGGTAACTCAAGTTGAAGCTCGGCAGGTAACTCATTCCCGACCTCTTAGTGGTTGCCGTCGGGCGGATTAACGGTGTGTCTTCGACCACTGGCGGTCGACCCACTGGGGTTAGTTTGGTCCCGGCCCCAGACCCCAACGGTTCGTCGAAAGCCTGGTGGGAGGGTGGTCGGTCTAGCGTTGCAGACCTCCCGGGAGTGGAATTCCCCGAGGTGAGATCCTCAGGAACTGTAAAGACAATCGGACTTTCAGCCACTGTCGGACTTTCAGCCACTGTCGGGCTTTCAGCCACTGTCGGGCTCTCCGCCATTGTCGGGCTCTCCGCGATTGTCGGGCTCTCCGCGATTGTCTGGCTCTCCGGAAGTGCGGGGCTCTCCGGAAGTGCGGGGCTCTCCGCAGTCGTAGGAGTACCTGCAAGCGAGGGGGACCAGACAGCGGGCATGGCGGCCCGCACTTCGGTTCGGGCCATGATTTGGCGAAGTAGCCTTTTGTCACAAACGCTCTTATGGGCGACGCATGCATGCCACCAGAGCTGGCTTAGTCGACCGAAAGTCAAGCGGCATGCCGGGTACCCTCTGGAAGTTAACAAGTCAGGGATGTGGCATCCATAGGGTTTTTTATGGACGGATTTCGCATGTTTATTCAACTCAAATTGCCACCGCCAGGCCACTCCACAGATTTCACAAACGAAATTTGCAGGCACGTCCACCACTGGGTGCTTCCGTTGCATATGGTACCTAAGACCTTCCTTCCTCACATACTCTCTTGCACATAATTTGCATTTAAAGCCCATGAAGGAACAAAATTTTTAACCATATCAAGCGAGATTAACTGAAAAATTGACTAACTGTTTATGTAGGCTGTTTCCCTACGTATCAGCGCCATTGTGTTATGCGACTACGCTAGATACGAATTGCTCTAGATATGCTTCTTATACCTACCTATTTGGAGTCGTTTATACAACTATATTTGCGATCGTGTTTGCAATCGTGTTTGTAATCGTGTTTGTGGACGAACCTGACGAGTGGAAAAATGAGTGCGAAATTTCTGTTCCATTTTATAGATGTTGCCGAGCTCGTTGTAGGTTTAAAGCGAGTCCGTGTAAGTCCGCGGCAGCCTTAGGAGGGTAGTTTGATAAGGATCGATTGAGCATGTGTGCCGGTTATGGTTAAAATTGCTGATGTCGGTTTGCTGTTCTATTGTCGGCAAAATCCCTAAGAATGTCGGCGTAAAGTGTAATCGCACATTTAACTGCGGCTTGAAGAGGAAATGTGGTTCCGACTGACTAAGAATTCGGCTGAGAAAGCGGCCAAGGAGCAGCTCAAAGCAGAAGCTAAAGCTGCGAAAGCACAGGCTAAGGTACAGGCGAGGCTTCAACAAGACTTTGCAACGGCTCAGGCCAGCGCCTTTCATGAAACGAACAAGGCGCAGAGCAAGGCGTTTAAGCAGGCTTTGAAGTCTCATGCGAAGAATCGGAAGGAAGCTGTGAAGGCACAGGCGAAAGCTGAGAAGCACGCGAAGAAGGCGCAAGCCCAAGCCGAGAAGGCCGCCTTGCGGAGTCTGAAGGGCCAGTCGCAACCATCATTGGCTGCGGCACTGGACATGAAGACTCCGGAACAGTACGCGGCGCGACTGAAACTGCCCGCTCCGAACACGAGAATCACGGGCATTTCGGTCAACGCCAAAACGGGTGGGAGCGTCGCCCCTGGCTCGTTCAACATCAACTTGGACGGTCTCCCAACCGCTCACCAACGGGTTGTGATCCAGAGACCTGTGCAGGTGGAAACCGTGGTCGTCGACCAGCCCATCGTGGACACCCATGCAAAAATGGAAAAAGCCAAAATCATCCAACTGCCTCCTGCCGAGCCGAAAGTGCTTGTGCAGCCAGTGATACAACCCGTCGTACAACCTGTCGAACAACAGGTCGCACAACCGGTCGTGGCACTCGCAAAACCAGTCGCAGCGGTGCCAGTCGCAGCGGCGCCAGTCGCACTTCACGCACAACAACAATCAAAGCAAATCGCTGTCTCCGCAGCGCCCCACCGAAAACTCGCGAAACAACCGGTCTCAGTCCAGGCAGCACCTGCCGCCGCCGTGAACGCCATTCCGGTCGTGCAGGCCGCCCCGGTTGTGCCTGCCGCCCCGGTCGTGACCCTGGAACAGGGCTCGATAGAACAGCCGCAAATGAAGCAGGGTCAGGCCCTCGCGCCCAAGGTGCTCGAGACGCCGGGTGCCATCCCGTGCCCGCCCTCAGACGATGAGCGGGAGCCCAGCAAAACGGCGCTCCAGGTGCGAGCGAGAGCCAACCCGATCAAAATGGACCCAATCACGCCTTCCGGTGCGCCCGCTCGTGGCCATTTCCAGTCGCCCATGGAATCGAACTTGCGCATGGCGGCACGTGAGTCTCTTCAGAGCCCCAACTTGGCGTCGTCCGTAAAGCCCAGCCCCCGCAGCATGGCTAGCCCGAGCCCCAGCAGCATGGCTAGCCCCAGCCCCAGCAGCGCCGCCAGCTCCAGCAGAGCCGCGAGCCCAATGCCCGTCTACCAGGTCATCACCCCGGGACAGAGCAAGACGCCTTTGAGGAACTTGGCGAGCCCCAGCAGCGCCAGCGCTACCAGCGTCAGCGCTACCAGCGTCAGCGCTACGAGTGTGAGCCCTACCAGCGCCTCGCCTAGCAGCGTCAGCGCCTCGCCCAGCAGCGTCAGTGCTTCGCCAAGCAGCGTCAGTGCTTCGCCAAGCAGCGTCAGCGCCAGTCCGGGCGTGCCCAGCGCCCGGAAGCCCGACGTGGCTCAACTCGCCCGTCCCAGCGCACACTTGACCGCGCCTAGCCGTCGAGGAGCCCGACAGAGCGGCGCCCGAGCGAACAACATGAACTTTCCGAGCCCGAGCAGCCTAGCCTCATCGAAAACTGAAGACAACCTTCCCTTCAGTCCTGGCGCTATCTACAAGATGGCCGGCGCGAGTTACGCTAGTCCCACCGCCAGTCCGAGCTACTTGGGCAATCCGGCAGCAAGTCCCCGCAGTCCCAGTCCCAGCAGCGTGAGTGCGTGTCCGGCCAGTCCCAGTAGCGTGGCTAGTGGCTTCACCAGCCCCGGGATTGCCAGCGGCAGCAACCTAGCTCGCCCAGCTGCCAGCCCCGGCACCTCCGCTGCTTACAAGATTGCCGGACCCAGCTACGCCAGCCCCAGGGACTTGGCCACCCCGGGGAACATGGCCAGTCCCAATTTGGCCAGTCCCAATTTGGCCAGTCCCAATTTGGCCAGCCCCAGTCCGAGCGCAGCGAGTCCCAGCAGCGTGGCCAGCAGCTGGAACCCCAGTCCGGCTTCGCCCAGCAAGCCCAGCCCCCGTAGCCTCGCCCGGCCGGCGAAGGTGCCGCCGACTCCGGTGACCATCACGCCTTTCTCGCCGTCGGACAACATCTACGTGGGCCCCGGTAAGAGGACCCCGCAGGCGCAGGAGAGCAAGAACGCTCCTGTCGTACAGGCGAAACCGGACGAAGAACTTGGCGCACAAGATTTAGCTCCCTCACCCAGCGAGGCCCCCTCACCCGGCGAAGCTCCCACGCCCAGCGAAGCTCCCACTCCCACCGACGCCCCCACTCCCGGCAAGGCTGATGACCAAAAGTCCGACATCCCCGAGGGCTTCGCAGCAAGCCGCGAGGAGACGGAAAAATACAACATCATCGACGTGGAGGACGTCCCGCAAGCTACTGCCCCCCGTAGAAGTCAGGAACCTGACATGGCCACCGTACTTCAAGGCTACAAGGCGGCCTACCGCGACCTGCAGAAACGCCGTGAGCAACTGCGCCTGACCGAAGAACGTTTGGCATTGGCCGAATCTACCGCCGCCATCGAACAGGAAAGACTGGAGGCCTTCGAACAGTACGTCAAAGATGTCGAGAAGAACGCTGCCCCAGTGCAGAAGTTCCTTTCCATCTTCGGCTGTGCGTCCAAACCCAACGCCAAGTAAGCTTGCTGAAGCTTTTTGCGATTGAAACTCCACAAACTTGGTCCAGCACATTCTGGATCAACCTCGAACCTCTGTCCACCCAGAGCGCCAAGCACACACGTGTGTGCACACAAACCTCTAGCCCCGAAACCACGCGCGTTCGCGCGTGTGCTTGTTGCATGTGCTTGTTGCAGCGTGTACGTATTTTGTTCTTTCCTGCTGTTCTTGTTGGTATGATGCAAAAATGATAAGAAACAGCTCTTGATTTGAACAACAGCAACATCTCGATCGCATTCATGCAGTGCAAACGGCACCCTGTGCATGATCTGGATGTCCGTTTTCACATGGTATCCTTTTTCACAGGCCACTGAACCAGCTGTTGCTTGTTGCCCTCGCAGGTTGGTCGGACAGCCGGTTGATTCACGAGTGGAGAGGCAGGTTAATTCGCAAAGGAACTCTATCGGGTGTAGATTAAATCGCAGATAAATTCGGTCTCCAAGCTCTTGAGGACGAGCTTCGATAGGTTTGTCAGCTACATGGCACGCTGACAGTATTAGGTCTGAAACGTACACACACGTCATCTGACATAGCAGCTTAGCTACTAACTAGCTAAAAATTAATGGCGTGCGATTTTGCATCGACCATAAGTTGTTCAACCATTCTTTAACATGGCTAAGTTTAACTTCGCGAAGATAGCCATCACATGTATTCGTCCCGAAACGAATGTCATGAACACACGCGAGTGCCAGGCTTATTCCACAATGTGAATCTGCTCAGGCTCGGGATATGGGTGGTTTCGGGTGCACCATTCCCTAAATTCTTGAATAACAGAACACCAGGCAGTCTCCGTCAGCGCCAAAGTATGCTTATTCAAACACAACTGGCTACGAAGAATCTCCGATACATACGGCACCTGAACTTCGCTAAATAGCGATTCAGCTGTAGCTTCTAACGACCTACAAATAGTTACCACCAAATATGCGAACCACTTATTCTTCATAGAAGTACAGCCTTCCAATATATCTGAAATAAACAGAAAGCATAAACAACGTCAAACAGAGATGAACAGTATTGCTCTTATGTGTAGATCATACTCTCGTCAGCCCCAATAGTCGCCAGAACGTGCTTATTCTCTTTCACCCACGGCTCAACCTGCAGCAGAAACCACAGCAGCCGGCAGTCAATCTCCGATGGCGCGCGTTCCGGGTAATGCCATCCGACGAATTGCTTGGTGGCGTCGATGTCGATTCTGCAGCCTTCTTTATCGACTTGTATTTCCATCAAAAAAAAATTAATAGGGTGTGTACCGTTGGTAAGGACCTGCGAAAGTTCTCGGCTGCCAAAGGATTTCCCCAGCGGCGGCTGCGGCGGCCGGCATTCGATAAAAACGATGCGGACAGCACGCTCGGTCGGGTGCTGCGAGAGGACTAACAGGAACAGGAGGTCGGTACCAGTTTGGCTCAATGACTGGGGGGTACCTAGCTAGTCTCCGAGAACTCTTGGGTTCTGCTATCTTGGCTTCAACCTAAATCAAACGTTGCATCCATCGGCAATCGAGCGCAAGCGGTCGGGTAGGGGGGTCAATAGGCAGGGACTAGATGCGGGACTGGTAGGTGGGGGGACCTGTAAAACCGGAACTTACTTGAGGGCCCAATTCGGGATGGGAACCGAGACTCGCCTCGGCAGACTGCGCATCTCGAAATAGAACAAAGCCGAAACCTCTGCTGCGCTGCGTTGATCGGTTCAGTTTAATGCACACGTCTTGCACAAGACCGAACTTGCCGAAATAGTGCTTCAAGGTCGCTTCCCGCGTGTCCTCTCTCAGCCCACTAACGAACACCTTGGACCGTAGCGAAGTCTCGCACCTGACATCGTCACGCGGAACGGCTCGTCTAACTTCACACTAACAGCAATTGAAATCTTAACGTCCCCTTCTGGACTTACGCTAATGGTGTCCGTAATCTGATGCCGCGGCTCCGCCACACACGCCTCCACGCTCTCCTCTGAGGTGAATACTACAAAACCGAAACCCCGGCTCCTTCCAGTCACCCTATCGTGAACAATCGCGCAATCAGTCACTTGACCGAATCTCGACGTGAAATAACTCCGCAAAACTTCGCTTGAAATTGATTGACCTAGTCCCCCAACAAAAACCTTAGCGGGGTTGAAATGCTGGTCTTCTAACGCTGTTGCCGCAGGTATCGTCGTCCACGCATTACCGACAGTGGCTGTTGTGGCTTCAGTCGTATCCGATTTCATAGCCGGTGCGGGAAAACATCGAAAGGCGCCCAACTCTCACATGACCGTTATTATCCACGTTCCCTTTGTTCTCGCGGGGTTCTCATTGAGTGTCTTCTACTTATTCTGAGTACTCTGCAGTATTCTGGAGTATTTTGGCCCGTAGCGCGCATTTGGGTGGATATTTCTCGCTGCACACACGTGTTCGACAGCGCCAAAATCGCAAAAACAGCCTAGATATGAATAAACGAAATTATGCACGGAGCCATCATACGCGATTGTGATGAGATCCTGAACGAACTCGATGAAATCACGCACACGACGGCCGCAGCTGAGGAGTTAGAGGGGATCCTGGACGGAAACTTGGATATCGGAATTGACTGGATCGGAGAAATTTGTCCTTGGGATGGATATGACCTCGGACAGAACATGTGTTGCGAAATAGATGAGGAGGAGCGGGCAGAGGATCGGCTGGACAGGGATACGGGTGAGGAAGACGCGCGGGACGAAGATGCGCGTGGCGAAGATGCGCAGGGTGGTAATGAAAATGTGCGTCGGAGGAACGGCGCTGAGGGAGAAGCGGGAAGTGAGTGCGCGGCGGAACCGACGACAGGCGTCGAGTGCCCGGTGTGCATGTGCGACATGAGCGGGCACGAGGTGTCGGCAATGCCTGCAAGTTGCTCACACCGATTCTGCGTGGAATGTTTGACAAGTTGGGCGGAGAAGTGCACGAGCTGCCCGCTTTGTCGTGTGAGTTTCTCAGGCATAAAGATCCTTACTCCGGAAGGTCCCCTGTTGCAGCGCGTCCGGAAGCGCCGTTTGCAGGAGGATGACTACGAGAGCGACGTCGCGGTGGAACGGCCTGCAACACGTCGACGGCCGCCTTCCCGCAACGGTCAGTGTTGCGTATGCAGCCGCGCCCTCCGGCGGCATTTCATTGAGTGCATGCGCTGCGGCGAGAAGTTCCACGAAGAATGCATGTCTGTTCGCCTCACTGTGCTACACGAACAACCGGTGTGTTATCGTTGTGAATCCTCTGTCGGGGTCACTTCACCGGAGAGTACGAACGTTGTTGCAGTCGCTACCAGCCGAAGACGGAGACGCCGGCGGGCGCAAAACTAAATTGGTGGTTTAGCTAGTTAGATATTTTCTCCTCAGATAGCTTCGCCACTCAGGGCCGAATGAAAACCTATCCAAATACAGGTCAATGGAGCCGTACGTTCTCTTCACATAGTCGATAGTCAGTCTCATTACGTCGGCCGTTGCGCGGCAGAAGCTCTCAGGTAGTCCGCTCATGTCCACAATGAACCTGCGTGCGCAGTCGGATGAATGCTGTGAGTGGTGTTTTCGTGAGATCGGTGGGTGCATACTTTTTAGCGTAGTTGTGGTACATTTCGCTGGCGCATTCCGTGAGTGAGTAGTCAAAGATGATTGCCTGTTCGCTGGCGCCGAGGATGTGGAGCAGCAGCATGCCGAGCACGCCGGTGCGGTCTTTCCCGAGAGTGCAGTGGAAGAGCACGGGGCCCTGCGAGAGCGCCACGATCTTCAGCGCGATGGAGAAGTTCTGGCCACAGTTGTCCACCATTTCATAGTATGTATTCTCCAGCTGGTGAGTGGAGATCACGAACCGGCAAAAGTAATAGGGCGCCAGGCTGTTCACGCCCGTGATCTTGTCCACCGCTTTAGCCGCCACCACCAGTGGCAAGTAGTGGATATTCGCTTTGTCCACCGCGTGCTCCAAGACCCGTCTTTTTACCGCAGGAGCGCTATAAAAGCATCAGATGGGACGCATAAGGTGAAACACATGAGGTGACCTTACGCTAGGGAAGTGAGTCGGTGTCTAGCTTGTGTGTGCGCCTACTCGAGTACGTTGACGACTAAAGCGTGTTTCAATTCGGGTCGCATGAATGTTTCGAATAGAGGGTAGAGTTCTTGGTTGTCAATGATCTCTTCCGCGAGCGCCGACGGAAGGCCTTTGATTTTGTAGGCGAATTCTTCGACGCTCGCTTCTCGATAGACGTCTTCCATCATGCGTGCATCATCTGCCAGTCCTCGTCGGTTATTTTTTTTAGGACTGCGCCAGCGGGACGGTGGTGTGCGGTAACCGCTCCTGGAGGTCGTGTGCCCCTTCTGTGTTACATGTGAGAGCAGGTAGAGCTGGGAGACCTGAAGTCTACTCTCTTCTTCGCCTCTGATCGCTAGCAGATTATCATCTCGCAAGTCGATGATGGTGTGGATCTTCAATCCGTCTACCAGCACGCCGTGTAGCGTACTGTAGTCCCCGAAGGGCCTCGCCGATCGGAACAGTCTACCCGTCTTAATGCCCAGGGTACAAGAGCTTATGGCGATGTCTCGGAAATTGGGCAACGTGGACTCCACCGCAGACCACAAAGGGCTATCGAGCAAACTAGACGGCGCCATGAACCGGGACACACACGCCGCATCCTCCCCACGACCTCCCTCACGACTTCGCTCACGACCTCGGTCACGACCGTCCCCATCGTCCTTACCAGGGGATAAAGTGTCATCGGACGGGACGGACGTGGTCTGAACCGGCGCCGGGCCTTCCGGACTTTTCCGCCGGAACCTGTTCCTTTGGTCAGCCATCAAGTCTGTACCCTGCGCGGCCAACTGCCGGAATCGCCGGGGTCTCCTCCGGCCCACGTCTCGTCGATCGTCGTCGGAACCGGCCGGACTGGAGGGACGACTACTCCCATCGACTCTACCACGCCGCTCACCCTCCTCAGCCTCAGCTTCTACCGCGTAGTCAGTAGCCTGTGCGGTGTCCTGCACACTGGGGTCTTGTATAGGGGGGTCCCGGACACGGGGGTGCTGCATACCGTGGTCCTGCATGCCAGGGTCTTCTTCCTCTGTGCGGCTTGGTTCTAGGTCTAGGTCTTGGTCTTGGTCAAGGTCTAGGTCTTGGTCTTGGTCAAGGTCAAGGTCAAAGTCTAGGTCGCGGTCTAATAAGTCCAGGTCCCGGTTGCAAGATGGATCCGGGTCGTGTCCTGGTTCGCTAAACTTCCGGTCCTTTATGGGAGGGCAGCTGGTGGCTTTGCTCTCATCGGGATTGTCTCTGGATCGGTCGTTTCTGCCGAGTCTGTATTGTTCGCTATAGCCGGAGCCGTGCAGATGGGGGTTGGGTTCTTCGACTAGATTTGAGACCATGATGGAGGCGGCGCGGTCGGCGTCTTCATCGTCAGAAATGGAGTGAGGTACGGTATTCATGTTGGGCCATGGGGAAAAAAAATTCAGTTGAAAAACTCGGCCCCAGGTTGGAGAGTGGAGTGGTACTTATCGAACCGTGCCTGCAGCTTGTCAGCACAAGCCAAGACGAAAGCAAGGAAACAGGGATTGGGTCGTCCGGGCTTCGACGTGAGCTCTGGGTGGTACTGGACGCCGAGGAAGAACGGGTGGTTTGGGATCTCCAACACTTCCAGACGGTCACCAGTATCATCCTTACCCACGAAGTGGTAGCCATGCTCGGCCAACTCGTGGTAAAAGTCCACGTTGAATTCGTACCGATGCCGGTGCCGCTCCACCACCTTCGCCGCTCCATCGTAAATTTTGGTTGCCAGCGAGTCGCCCGTATCGAACCTCGTGATTCTGTTCCCAAGTCGCATCGTCCCTCCCATCACCTTGTTCACGGTCTCGGGCATGAAGATCACCACGCGGTCCTCACCCAATGCCCCAAACTCCTCACTGTTCGCCAGCGGCCGCTGCAGAAACGTTCGCACCGCCTCCACACAGGCCAATTGCATGCCCAAACAAATTCCCAAGTACGGCTTCCGGGCCTCTCGGGCATACCGGCATGCGGCTATCATCCCCTCCGTTCCTCGCTCACCAAAACCGCCGGGAATCAATACTCCCGCACACGACTTGAGCTTAGCCCATTCCTCCTTGCAGAGCCGCCTCGCACTCTCACCACCTTCATATTGTGCAGCCTGACTGTCTCTAGCTTGGTCACCATCAGCTTGGTCACCATCAGCTTGGTCACCATCAGCTTGGTCACCTTTATGCCCTTGCCTCGCCCGGTCTTCTGGATGTGCCTCTTGCCCTGCCTCTTGCCCATATTTTGCGTTCTCCTTGCTATCTAGTACTAAGAGTTCTGATTTTATCCAAACCAGCTTTGCGTTGACCATGCACTCTGTGGCACTATGTTCGACGGCCCGAACAACCGAGAGATACGTGTCATTACTACCTATATATTTGGCAACAAAGCCAATTCGAACAGGTTCTTGGCCTTTAAGGTGCCGAAGTCTTATGCCCATTTCGCGCCATACGTCGACTGGCTTCATGTTACCGTAGAACGTGAGTTCGGACTTGGGATTTTCTGTGAGCAGTTGAAGTCGTTGCGTGAGTAGGGCTGCGAAGTTCTGGTTGGCCAAGAGCTCAGGAACGTAGTACCCTGATTCCACTTGAGGAAGTCCGAGTACATGGGTTTCTTTTATTCCACCGAAAACCGACAGTTTCCTTTTCGTACCAGGTTCCAGCATGGTCTCTGAACGTCCGAGAATGAAATCAGCAGCCAGTCCGGCTTCTCTGAGTGATTTGAATGAGTGCTGCGCACACTTGGTCTTTTGTTCCGAGCCAATTTGGGGTATAAACACTATATGGCAAAGACAATAATCTGATCTATCTAATCGAGAGAAGAACTGCTGCAACGCCTCTAGATAAACACTACTCTCTATGTCACCGACTGTACCCCCAACCTCTAGCAAACATACTTCCGGTGGTCCTTCTAAACCGTCAACACTTCCACGCGATATTCGATTTATCCATTCTTGAATTGCATCCGTCACATGCGGTACCATTTGAACTGTAGCTCCCAAGTAATCTCCATTCCTCTCAGCTTGTATTATTTTCCGGTATATCTTGCCAGTGGTAACATTATGATCCTTAGTAAGGCTGATATCCAATGCACGCTCATAGTTTCCCAAATCGAGATCCCCTTCGTGACCGTCATGCAAGACAAACACCTCTCCATGCTCACCAGGAGCTATCGTCCCCGCATCCACATTCAGATACGGGTCAATCTTAACCGCAGTTACGCGGTAACCACAGGAACGCAAAACCACACCCACCGACGACGCCAAAGTACCCTTCCCCAATCCGCTCACGGATCCCTAGTGACAAACACAGTAGTACAGGGAGGGGGGGGGGAGGATTGAGGTCAAGGGGATTGGGACTAAGCAATCCAGACCAGGAGGAGAGGTTCAACCGAGGGCGATGTTAATCTGTCTCGGCAAGCGAGGGGAAACAGTCTGTGTGTCTAGATCTTACTCCAGTAACCACCACGAATTTCACCATCACGGGCCGGAGGAGCTAGGAATTTTTGGGCGCATATTCGGTTGATCTTGCATGTGGTAGCAGATGGAGAAAGGAGGCAAGAAAACAACCTATAGGAAAGCCAAGCCTTCGCGGCGAAGGAAGGACTCATCGGAACAGGGTCTGCGGACGGCCGGCGCAAACGGTAATACGGAGACCCGTGCGAACGGCGGTGGTGGCGGTGGCGAGAGTGCCCGAGGAGGAGGTGACATGACGGCGCGCACGGCTCGGGGTGGTTCGGCGAATAAGTCGCAGGAGAAGCGTCCGGCTGTGAGTCCGAGTGAGCAGGGGGGAAAGAAAGCGACGAAGAGCAAAGTCCCGGCGGCCGCAACTAAGCGTAAGGCGGCCCAGCCGGCGCCGAAGAAGGCCGGCAAGGGGGGATACAGTCCGGTCAAGAGCTTGTCAGGAGGTTACGGAGGGCCAGGGGGTTACGGGGGACCAGGACCTGGTCTTGGGGGCTATGGGCCAGGACCCGGTCCTGGGGGCTATGGGTCGGGGCCAGGTGGCTATGGGCCTGGGCCAGGTCCAGGGGGCTATGCGTCTGGTCCAGGAGGCTATGGTTCAGGGGGAATCGGTAAAGGTATCACCGGTGGCTTCCCGGCCAAGTACAAAGGGATGCAAAAAGGGTCCAGTAGCGCCGAGTTCTCCGACATCCTAGCTAAACTCGCCCAAATGGAAGAAGGCATGCCACTCGACCCAAACCCTCTCGGCGCCCTGCTCTGTCCCGGCAGTTTCCAGTCAGGCTCTTTGGACGCCCGGCCCGATTTGGACCCCCGTCCTGGCCTGAACGCCCGTCCTGGTTCGGACGCCCGACCTAGTTTGAACGCTCGGTCAGGTTCCGGAGGCGGCTCCGACCCGCGGCCGGGTCGTGGCCAGAACGGGAACCGGCCCACGAGGAACTTGGACGCAGATGCCATGGCAAGCACACTTGACATCCAGAAGTTGCTGGATACTTTTCTGGCTGAGACGGGGCACGTGCCTTCTCCGACGATTTTGAGGCCGTCCGAGCACCGTGAGTCGCTGGAGCTCTCGTCGCTCGAGGCTCCGTCTTTGGAGGCCCCGCGGAACGCCTGTCGGGCTTGGCCCGAACGCGAATTTGACCCCTACTTGGTCACGCGCAAGACCGACCCCACAGGCGGCTACCAACCCGGTTTGGCGCAGCTGTCTGAAGCGCCGCGCTTCCACGACACCTCGCTCTTCACCCACCCCCGATCCGTCGCTCGAGAAGGACCGCATGACGGACTGCTAGCACATGAAGGCTTGATGGAGCGTGAAGGCTTGATGGAACACGAAGGCTTGATGGAGCGAGAAGGTTTGATGGGGCGCGAGGGTTTGATGGGACGCGAGGACCGGACTACATACATTGCCCACGTCCCGCCGCCTCCCCTGCGGTCGAGCATGCCGGCGTATGGGTCGAACGAAGGACGCCAGCACCTCCCCTTCCCAGACCCCGGACTGGGCGTTCCTCTACCGGGCCAGCAGCTGCCGGGCGTGCAACATCTGCCAGGTGTCCAGCATATGCCGGGAAAGCATCTGCCAAGTGTCCAGCACTTGTCCGGAGCGCAGCAGTTGTCGGGGGTGCAGATACTGGGTCCTTCATTGGCGCCACCTGCGCGGTCTGCGGAATCGTCGGAAGGACAATCGTCAGAGGAGGAGCTACTGTTGGGTCCGCCTCCGGGGATTACGGGAGCGGTAAACCTGACGCCGTTGTTACCTGCGCGGAAGGAGCGTAGCGAGGACCTATTGCGACGGGTAGATCCGACGTCAGTACCTCGGGTGGTCGCTCCGGCGACGATTGCGCCAGACGCGGAGGATAAGAAGCTGCTAGACTACCAGACCGCTTTCCCTTCACTCGAATGCGGCGCCGCGGCCTCCTCCTCGCAGAACGTGCGTCCGCTCACACAGAAGGACAAGGAACTCAGCTACCCAGCTGACTGGCTCTCCGTACCATCCACCGTCGACTCCGACGGTCTCTGGATGACCGAAAAAGAAATTGGCTACGTCACGCGACAACAGATCGCTAAGAGCACCCGCGCACAGACCGACTTATCCAGACCCAAGACAATAAGCTCCGATCTTGTTGGCCCACAAGGTGTGGCACAAGGTGGAAGGCCGGGCTCTGGGTCGGGACCGCAGGTCGTCAGTCCTACCGGTTCGGGCCAGCAGGTTGGTTCGGAGACACGAGCGCCTGAGGGTAGTCCGTTGACGAGCCAGGGCCGGAACGCGGACGTATTGGAGTTCGTGTGCAGCACTCCTGCCCGGGGCTGCGTCTGTCACCTTTTGAAATCCGGGGGTTTCGGAGTCTGCGGCAGCCGGTTCTGCGCTACCGCGGGAGGCATACCGCCGCCGCCTGAGATGCACCGCGCTGTAGCCGCTCGCATCAAACTTGCTCACGATGTCGAGTCGCCAGAGGAAGCCTATCTCGTTCTTTGCGGCCTGGCCGCCCAAGGCCAAGGCCGTATAGCCCAAAGTCCCCAAGGAGTTGCTGAACAAGACAGCGACAATACAATCGGCGACAATGCAATGGTCCGGGACACAGTCCCTATCCCTATAACCGGCCTATGGGCCGGGTGCCCTCCACCAGCCCTGGTCGAGGTCGACCTCTTGGAGTTGGGATCGCGGTTGGTGGACCTGTCGACTAAAGAGCAGGGATTGGTGGTGCTGGTGGACATGTGGTTGTACATGACGGCAAATCGTCACCGTGGGGCACACCCCATATTTCTAGCTATTCTGAGGAACAGCGCTTTATTCTCGATCATTTGTGTCAATGTGAATGAGGAGACAGAATTATGCACACAACTCAAGTTGGCCCTGGAAATGCAGGACTTTAATTCGCTGGTTTACGAACTGGAGCTCGTCGCCACCGATTGGGTCCGACGGGGAGCAGCCATGACCAAGCTCGGCATGCTGTGTCTCCTCGCGGTCCTGCACCAAGTGAAACGAGACTTGGGCCTTAGTGCTTGCCGCATGATCTACGAAGGCATCGTGGACAACCTCGTCCGCTCCTCCATGGGAACCACCAACATCTCCTCGGGAGTGTTGAAACACGCACTGCAAATCCACCCGGCCCTTCCCGCCACGCTCAGCTCTATTCTCGTGCTGAGCATGATGACCGCCGTCTGCCTCTCCAACCCCTACCTTGGCTGCCAGGAAAGGAGACCGCCACCCGTGCTAGCCAACGCACCTCTAACCGACACGTACGTCCTTCTATTCCCTGCCCTTGCTACACTTGTTCCCAACACTTGGTCCCTACGCTTGTTCCCTACGCTTACTCCCTACGCTTGTTCCCGACACTTGCTCCCTACGCCTGTTCCCGACACTTGTTCCCTACCACTCCACTCCGGCGAGTTCGTCATACAGGCATGGGCGGGTGAAATTGGGAGCATCCATATCTTTTCAGTTCTGCGTTTCGGTTGCTGTACCGGTTGCTAGCTCTGAGTGCTGTGAACACAATGGACTCAGCTTCGTCGCAAGATACGCGGTTCGAAGGCTCTAAGGCTTTCCTGAAATCCTCGTTGAGGACTGTTGGCAAAGACAATTTCTGTGCATCTGCCATACATGAAGCGGCGGCTCAGTGCCAGCATTTTGCGTCGGCTGAAGGATTTATTCTGTGGTTGTGCGGTTCTTGAGCAACCAAGTTTTCCCCATTGCCCTGTACAGACCTGGCTCATAAACCCCTCCCCGCACGACAGGGATCTGTTCCCTCGCACAGAGCGGGTCCGCAGGTCCGTGGTTGGGCCGTGCGCAACGGAGGTTGATATTTTTAAACTGAGACTGCCAGTCAGTTGCCGTCTGCGATCGGTTCCAGAAACAAACGTCGGTTAAAAATGTTTCGGACGGCGGTCGTGAGCACTGATGACGAGCACCAGAAGATTCCCTTGAGCCAAATTGTTCAAACGAGACACTGCTCATTTGCCCTGCTACTCGTGACCATAAAGGCCAAGAGTCCTGGGTGCACGAAGCAACTGAGGGAAGCCAATGAACAGTTCGACCGGTTGGTGCAGCTAGACTGCTGTCCTGTCGGAGTGTGTGTTGCATCCCAAAATGCCATTGTAACCACACCCCGGCCATCTTTGCACCACTGCCCCTCATCCTTCCCCCTACCCTTCCTGGCTCCTGACCGTGCCCCCCTGCGACTGCCCACGGAGTTTGTGGTTGTAGGAAGAGTGGCACAAGGAGATGGGTCTGAGCTTCCCCATTGTACAGGCGTCGCCGGAACTTCTTCAAGGTCTGGGCGTGTTCGAAAAGTGCAAGCCGGTGCGGTCATGGTTGCTGTTGGACGGCGAAGGTGGTTGTGTGACGAAGAGGAGAATTACGAGTGTTAGGTCGTCCTACTTGGGGGAGGTGGTCGAGTGTCTGGAAAAAGAGCTCGGGGGAGACGGGAAGGACGTGGGGCCTGAGGCCAACACGCCGATGAAGCGCAGTAGGCGCGAGGCAGGCTCGAAGGACTCAACTGTAGCGCCCCCGACATCGCCGCCCAGTCCCCCCCGGAACCTTCAAAAGCCCGCAGACGAGAACAGACCCATCTTGAAGCGAACGCGGAAGCAGGCGACCAAGGCCACGGAGGACGAACGAGTCGCGAAAGCGCTCTCCACCTCCGAAGTTGAAGACTCGCCTGCGCCCAAAGGCCGGCGCAAGTCGCTCAGCAAGACCGTGGACAAGGCCGCGGATAAGACCGTTGAGGAAGCCGACACCGAAAAGAAGCCGGCAAGGCGCGTGATAGCCACCAACAGCTCAGCCAATGCTAGCGTTGCCCCGTCCGCAGTAGATGCTCCCTCCACGAAAGCTGGCCCCATAAAAGCTGCTCGGGACGAGGCGATGGCCACCGAGGAACAGCAATCGGAGACTGAGGCGCCCACGGAGCAGACAGCTGGCAAAACCAGGACGAAGCCCAATGGCAGAGCCAGCCGCAGCCAAAGCGTCACACCCAAGGCCAAAGCCAAAGCAGCCGCCGCCCGCGGAGGCTCTACCAAGTCGCAAGAGCCGGCTGGCCGCGACGGCAAGCGCGCCGCACCGGCCGCACCTGCCGCGAAGAGAAGCAACGCCCCGCCCGCAGACGAGAAAAAGGCCACCCGAAAAGTCGGGGCTCCCAAACCTGCAAAGGCTGTGAAGAAGGCCCCTGCAAAAAAGAAAGATAGATAGATAGTTTTAGCTCATGGACAAACGGGAAGCTTTCGTAGAAGAAATCGCTCAAGGGCTGGAATCGGTTCTACTTAACACCGCAGAAATACTCACCAACATTACGGAACTAGACGACAACCAAGCACTCATCGAAGGCGAAGACGTACGCTCACTTACCCTTCCCTCACATACTGCTAATCCTGCTGCTGTGAACTGCCGTAGATTGTGAACTGGCTAGCCTGCTGACCCTATAATACGAACACTGGCCCTAGCACTGACCTCATGCCACGTAGACTGATGCCACCGCCTTGACTGATCAAATCCGCCAAATGACGGACACACTAAACAGAGTTTGTGCGGCGCTGCACAGCCAAATCGACTCAGCGTCCAAGAATGCGAGGCTCTCGCACGCCCCGTATCACCTCATTCTCGCCGAAGAGAATATCAAAGAGGCTATTGGGCTCCAGCATTTCAAAAACTCTTTTTGATGGCCGTCAACTATGCCAAGCAAGCCGAAGCGATCCTTAACTCGCAAGACAAAGGCAACAGTGATCTCCTAATCCTCATGTACGGCAGCCTGGTCACGCAGGTGGTCCGGGACGTGGAGAACGTAGACACCGCCAACGCAGAATTGGAACGGCTGTACGTTTTCACCGACCCAGACACCTCACCAAACGTGCTTCCCTGCAGGGGCCACGACACCGGAATTCGACTCGTCGAAGATTTTGTCTCAAGGTCCTCCCTCTCGGTTTGTCAAAGTTTCAAAGACACCTGTGAAATCATCGCAAAAGTGGCATTCAAGGTATACCTCGGCGTCGCTGCAGAGGTCAGGCAAGCCAGCGACAGCGTCTGCTTCATCACTCTCCCCGTGAATCCGATCACTGACTTCGTCGAAATCCCGCCAGCGCTGGCTGGACTTAATTATAACGCATACGTGTGTGGCGTTATTCAAAGCGCCCTTGAGCAGGTACGCCCTTCTAATTCTCACCTAGCTCTATGTGCGTGCGCTCGAAGAGCTATGTCTGCGCACGTGTCTGCGGGCTCCCACTCCGCTAATGTACGTCTTTATTATAGGTGCAGCTCAAAGTGACCTGCGTGGTGACTAAAGATGCTCTCGTGGACTCGGACGTAACTGAATTCAGACTGGAACTAATCGA